ATGTAAAAGAATCTCCTCTTGTAAGTGATCAACTTTATTATTTTTCTTTTTTAAAAAATCTTGGCAGGTTATCAGTTTAAAGGAGACTTTCTAAAATTATTTCTAGTGTTGCTTAATTAATCTTTTTATACACTTGCCCAGTATGAATGAGGAACAGGAGTGGAATAGATAAATTGCTAAGTAGTCCCACAAACTAGTTTAGCATAAAATTTCAGACTTATGTTTTCTCTCATGTTGAACCCTAAATAGGGTTAGAAGAGTTGTTAAGTGTAGGAAGTCTGGGGAAATTTATTTAACTTTTCTGAGCCTCTATTTCTTTGTTTAATGATGAGGTTGAGTTAAATGATCTCCCAAGATACTTTCTAGTTCTTGAATTCTATCATCTAATAAAATGTGAGTAATTAGAATTTATGCCTTTCATGTCCTTGATTAAAATAAAAAGTTAGGCTTAAGTAACTAGGAAGGGAAAAATAGTGAGCTTAAATAATTATTTGTATAACCTTTTAAGGATAATTGAATATAATAATCCAAATTTCTGAACTTCTGATGGATCAACAGAAAATAAGGGACTAATACTCCCTATGAACGCTTCCCCCATGGTCTTTGAGCTCATTATCTGTGTGCTGTGATAGAAAAAGCACTTGACACGGCGTCAGGATACCCTGGTTCTGATTATAGGGCTGTCATTAACTTACTCTGACTTTAAACATCTGCTCAGTAAGCAGCTGACCTAGATTAGATGGTCTCTCTAAAGTCCTTTCTAACTTGTACTGTTCTGAAATTCTGTTACCGCTTTGAGTTCTCTGATGCTTAAATTGGCAGCTGCTTCTGCTACTCTGGAGCCTTGCCATTGCTAGCTTTAGCCTGAAACCCATCGTTGCCACCAACAGTGCTGCTGTTCAGCTAACAGCAACTGTGCAGCCTCGAGAGTTATGCTGATGCTGCAAATGTTCATTTTCCCAATTTCCTAATTTCTTCATCCCTATGAAGTTAGGTCTGTTGTGAAGAAAAAAGCTTTTCAGAGTTTGAGACAGTTTGGAGTAGGTGAAACCTAATCTCTGGGATATGGTCCAAATGCTTGTGTAGGACTCACTGGAAGAAACTATGGGGGGGAGGTATGTCATTACCTAGATAGTTCAAATAGTCCCAATGCCCTGGAAAGAGCCATGAGAACACACAGGGTTTGTCTTGATCTTCCCTGATGAATGTTGGATACTTAGAAAGCTCTGTCACCTTTTCAAAGACTAAAAGCTGTTGTGCAAATGGCCCTTAGTATCCAAGTGACTACTGTCAGACTGCTAAAGTGGAAAGGCATATTTGATGTCACTCTAGCCCTTAGTCTCACATTCGTGAGCTCCTAACTTACATTTGGATTAGTACCTCACCCAAAGACAAGTAACAATGCCTGGAACATAGTATATACTCAGTGTTATTTATTGAGTCAGTGAGTTCACATATTTAAATCTGAATCATTTTTAAAGGAAGTAAAGCAGTACTCTTGAGATTTTATCATGAAGTCTGTTCATAATTAACTGGACCAAGTGGCATTTGGAATTCTTATTCATCTGTTGCTCTTTTTAATCATTAATCTGTTTTTATGGGTAAGTAAATGCAAATCTTGAGTAAAATAGTAATTTACTCTTGTCTAAAATAATACATATATTCATTCCATACTGTAACTATGGGTAGCTTTTTCATCACTGTGACCAACCTCAGAAAATAAAATTTAGCCACTTTTGATGTCTAGAGAAATAAAGAACTTTCATTGCTTTAAAGGGAAAATAAACACTAAATATCCATGAAATATCAATCTATTAAAATATTAGTGATAAAATATGTTCTGAAGTTAGTCAATAGTATGCTATATTGAATTGCATAAG